GACTGGACTGAAGAATATGGAGAAGAGCAGATGGAGTATGATGGACAACTAGATGAAGAAACTGAGGCTTTTGGTGCAGAATTGGAGAGCTTGTTGCAGGGTGATCTAGGCATCAACATGGTCTTCATCTTGCCAAAAGAATTCAGGGCAGCAGAAGGGCAAGAAAACACTCTGGAGGGAGACGTTTTCTCCCATGAAAGCTTTGAGTGCAAGTTAGTAGAAGTAGAAGAGGCACCAGAACGGCAAACACTTACTGCCAAGACAAGTGGAACTGCTATGAAACTGGCTGCAGAACAGCTTTGCTTCTCCAAACCAACCAAGGAGATGGACAATCACCTTAGACCTTTGTTCATAATAGCAAACTTTGGGGGTATTCCTATTCCCAAGGTCATGGTAGATGGAGGTGCATCCATTAATCTTTTACCCTATAGATTGCTAAGCAAGATGGGTAGAACAGAGAAGGATTTAATTCCAACACATTTAACTGTCACCAATTTCGTTGGGGGCATCACCAAGACTCATGAAATCCTGGATGTGGATTCTTCTACCACTTCTTTGTGGCAGGGACTGGATTCACCAGAGCTTATGTGTTCCTTCCACTCTACATCAACAATTAATCATTTGGAATGAAGAAGGATACATGGAGAAAGTAGAGGCCGATCCACGGCCATTTCTGCCTTCTGTCATGTGTTTTGAAGTAAGGTATTATCATGATGACCTTGGTCCTTTCACCTTCCTTGGAGTCAAACAGAACGGCCGCCCCCATGGTGTCGTGGCCCAGAGACTCATTGAAGATGGATTAGCCAGTTCTCTAGAGGACTGGAATAGACCTTTCATTCTAAACCTCCAAAACTCTAATGTTTCGTCCCAATCAACAAGAGAAGGATCGAGCTGCAACAATCCGATCCATTATAAAAAGATTGTTCATATATTAGGAAGAAATGAAGCTCTTTATGCTGGATCCAGCCATCAATATGGCAGAATTCACCCATAAGAGCACTGAAGATCATGAAGAGAGTTTGTAGGAGGAAGTACTAGATTTTGCACCAGCAAAAATAGATGATTCTTTACCAGAAGTAGAAGATCCACTGTAGGAAATAAACTTAGGGATAGAAGAGGAACCTAGACCCACTTTCATTAGTGCATTGTTGGAAGAACCACTCAAGAGTGAAATCAATGCACTTTTGCATGATTTTAGAGACTGTTTTGCTTGACATTATCATGAGATGCCTAGATTAGACAGAAAGCTAGTGGAACACAAGCTGCCAATTAAAAAAGGTTACCTTCCAGTTAAACAGGCTAGAAGAAGGATGTTTATGGACACAGAACTGAAGGTCAAAGAAGAAATAGAAAGATTGCTCAAAGCAGGATTCATCAGACCAGCCATTTATGCTGATTAGCTAGCCAATATTGTACCAGTTCTAGAAAGAAAAACAGGGGTAGTTAGAATCTGTGTGGATTACAGGAATCTAAATGAAGTATCTCCCAAGAATGAATATCCTATGCCAATGACAGATATACTGGTAGATGGAGCTGCTCATAACCAAATGCTATCTTTTACGGATGGCAATGCAGGCTATAATCAGATTATGGTGGTAGAAGAAGACATCCACAAGACAGCTTTCATGTGCCAGGGACATATAAGTGCATTGCCATGATATACTGTAATGTCTTTTGGCTTAAGAAATGCAGGAGCCACTTATCAAAGAGCAATGAATTCTGTTTTCCATGATATGATAGGGCATTCTCTGGAAGTATATATAGATGATGTGGTGATTAAATCCCCAAATGAAGGAGATCATGTATCAAATATGAGAAAGACATTCCCAAGAATGAGACAACATAAGTTGAAAATGAATCCTAAGAAATGTGTTTTTGGAGTTAAGGCAGGAAATTTCTTAGGTTTCTTGGTCCACCAAAGAGGCATAGAGATTGAAAAAAATAAAGCAAAATCCATCATAGAAGCTCTACCACCTCGGAACAAGAAACAACTGCATAGTCTCTTAGGAAAAATTAATTTTTTAAGAAGATTCATATCCAATTCTGCAGGAAAAATCCAGCCTTTCTCTTCCTTGCTAAGGTTGAAACAGAAACAGACATTTAAGTGGGAAGAGCAGCATCAACAAGCTTTTGAGGAAATCAAGCATTACCTCTCACATCCACCAGTTCTGTCCCCACCAAAGAGAGGCAAACCACTCAAACTATATGTTTCTGCGTCAGAAGTGTCTATTGAGAGTCTGTTAGTTCAAGATAACAAAGAAGGGAAGGAACATGCAGTCTACTATCTGAGCAGAACTCTTATAGAAGTAGAAAGGAAATATTTTGCAATTGAAAGGCTTTGCCTAGCCTTGTATTTCACTGTTGTGAAACTCAGACACTGCATGTTGCCTTTCACCATCTACATCATTGCTAAGATAGATCTAATCAAATACATGCTAACAAGGCCAATGTTGAGAGGCAGAATTGGAAAATGGACTCTAGCTTTGACAGAATTTGCTTTCAGATATGTTCCTTAGAAGGCTGTCAAAGGACAAGTTGTAGCAAATTTCCTAGCAGATCATCTAGGAGAAGAGATTGAAAACATTGACTCTTTGGACATAGCAAACGTAGATCTGCTGACTAGAGCTCATACTTGCCTTAACAATCCTATCTATTCAGTTTACCTCATACCTTGGAAGCTGTACTTTGATGGGTCAAAAACTGATGTAGCTTCCGGGGCAGAAATTGTTTTGGAAGAACCACTAGGGATCAGACACTGTTATTCTTTCCAGCTAGATTTCCAGTGCACCAACAACAGGGCTGAACATAAGGCTTTAATCATTGGCCTAGAAATGCTGGTAGAATTAGGAATCCAATCTGTGAAAATTTTGGGAGATTCTATGCTTGTGTTGAAATAAATTGCTGGAGAATATAAGTGTCTAAGTCCTTCTTTGGCTATCTATTTAGTGGCAGCCAGAAACCTTCTTACAGAATTCAAAGAAGCCATTTGGGAACATATCCCCAGAGAAGAAAACTTTGCAGCCAATGAATTGGCTCAGGTAGCAACATGTATACAAATACCTGAAGACTGTGTGCAAAGGATCATCAAGGTAGAAAAGAAAAGTCTACCATCTGTTCTGACCAGGGGGATGGAGATAGATATCAATTCTACCATAATCACTGAAGATAATTGGAGAAGTCCTATCATAAGTTACTTGCAATATCCAACCCTACCTTTTGAGAAAAGAGTCAGAATCTTGGCTCTAAACTACCTTATGTGGAATAGAGACTTTGTCCGAAAAAGCAAAGATGAGGTATTTCTAAGGTGCCTTGAAAAGAAAGAATACATGAAAGTCATGGGAGAAACTCATGAAGGAATTTGTGAAGCTCACCAAGGAGGAAGAAAGATGTGCTGGTTAATTAGGAGGTATGGCTACTTCTGGCCAACTAAGATGAAGGATTGAATTGACTATTCCAAGGGGTGTGAGGCTTGTCAAAGGCACAGCCCAATCCAGCAAGCTCCTTCAGTTCCCATGAATCCAGTGGTAAAGCCATGGCCTGTTAAGTCTACTACACTTCAAGAGATCATCACTTTAATAGAAGAGCAGATTGTACAAAGGTTTGGCATTCCAGAATCAATCACAACTGACATGGGATCTTCTTTCATATCTGGAGAGATGCTAGATATGGCAGAAGCGTTCAAATTCAAGCTGCTTCAATCCACTCCTTATTATGCTCAAGCCAATGGGCATGCAGAATTAAGTAAAAAGAGAGGCAACTGGCATGACCTCCTATGCTCTGACTTATGGCCATGATGCAATTCTGCCTATGGAGATAGCAGTCCAGTCTCTCAGAATTTCTCATCAACACAATCTGGTTGGAGAGGATTATTCTTAAGCCATGCTGCTAGAACTGGAAGGATTGGATACAAGAAGGATTGATACCCTCAACAAACTCTTAGCAGGAAAGTAGGCTGTATCAAGGGCCTACAACAAAAGAGTTAAAAACAAGAGCTTTGAAGAAGGAGACATGGTCTGGAAAGCAATTATGCCCCTTAGAACACACATAGATGGTTATGGGAACTGGTCACCTACATGTGAGGGTCCTTTCATAATTAAGCAAATCCTCGGAATGGGGGCATACAGATTACAGGACTAAGATGGGGAAGTTCATGCTGCACCAATTTATGGCAAGTGGTTGAAATTTTTTTATCCAACCATGCGGGACTCACTGGCTGCACGAACAGATCCTGGGATAGAGAAGGAACAAGTTTAAAACAGTTTGTTTAAAGTTCTGTTCAGAATTTATTTTTCTTCTGATTTTGTTAAAAGTTTACTTTCCTTTTTGTTTTTCCTACTTCATTTTATTTCCATCAAAAGAAATTAAAAGTCCAAAAATTGCAACAAATAATTAAAACTTTTTATTAGTCATTCTCCATGACTAGAGTTTATTACATTTTCTAAAACCTGGAATCTAAAGTCCTAATTTTCTAAGAGTTTCTTACAACCCAGTCTTCTTGATAGAAATCTCTTGTTGGAGAAGCATCCCTTGATGAAGAGAGGCTTCTGCAATCTCCAACGCCAGCCTAGAAGCTGCTACCATGTTCTGCACGAGGAAAGTAGCCTTGGTCTTGGTGCCCAATCCAGCCCTAAGTTTGTTCTGCCTCTCTCTTAGCCCAGCCAGCTTTTTCTGAAGTTCTTCAATTTGTTTCTCCAGCTTGTCAACAACAGTCTTGGCTTCCTTATAACATGGCACTATTTGGTCCAATTCTGTTTTCTGCTTGGCATAATCAGCCAAGTTGGCTTCATGAGTAGCCTTGCAGAACTCAGAGGCTTTAAAGGAGGGCTTGAGATCTTCATAGCGGTTATGGAGATTGAGCACGTCCCTCTCTAGACCCAGGCTGAGCTCAAGGATAGGCCTGGGAGCCATGTTCTCCCTATGCAGCAAGTCCAGATCTTTCATTAGTTGGTCCACAGCTTCTTGATTTTCATCCAAATCTAGTTCAGTGGACTGCTAGATCTTCACTCTATCCACTGCCTCATCCACCGCCTTGGACTTTCCCTTGAAAGGAGTAGAGCTGAGTTTCTCAAGCTTGTCCAGCTGGGTGTCGCCTCAAATTCTGCCAGCTCTAGATCAGCATAGGAAGCAGTGGCAGATGAACCTGGAAGGGAATGGATAGGCATCTGCAGAAAAGAATGAAAGTCAAAACCAGGCAGAAACAGAAAAGCAGTAGCACTCACAGCAACAATTAGAGGCTTCAGAGGGCTGGTCATCACTGCCAAAATTCTGGGGCTGCAACAGGAAGTTCTGCCTGCTCCACAAACTCTCATACAGACTGCTTCGCCTGTTTCTCAGGTGCCAGAATAGCAGTGGAGTGTTCTGCCTCTGCATCCTCAAAAAGAGCCAACTCTGAACTAGTCAGCTCTACCCTTGGGGCCTCCTGTTGTTTCTACGCCAATGCGATGCTCTCTGCAATCACTTCAGTGGGGATTTCCTCCTATAGAAAGACAGAAGTCAGAACAGAGGAAATCAAAAGACAAGAATCGCTGATGCAATCAAAAAGACTCACTTCTTCTTCCATTTCTTTCGTCTTTTCCTGAGGTCCTTCTTCTTCTTCTAGCTCTTTTTCCTGCTCCGCTACCTCGAAAGCCTCCCTCAATTCTTCATATGTGCCAGAAGTGGTGGTAGGAGCTGCTGCAATTCTGCAATAAACAGGCAATACTCCACCACAGTCCTCTTTCTAAGTTTTTTCGACCTAGTAGGGGGAGGAGGAGGACTTTCAACTGCAATAAACAGGCAATAAATTGTTAGAACAAGGGATAGCATAATATAAGAAGGCTCAAGACATCCAGAATTTACCTGAGGACGCAGGCTGAGCAGCACTACCATGGACTGGAGCAGTCTCCTTCCTCTGATTTCTTCTGCCAAGAGGAGTAGCCTCCACTGCTGTTTGTTCTATCTGAACCTCATCCTCTTCATCTCTAGAGGGAAGCTCCAAGTCTCCAGCTGAGATAACAGAAGTGACTGCACAAAAAATGAAGCCAGTCCGAAGTCAATCCATCAGGAAAATAATAGAAGGGATAGGAATAATAGAGAACTTACCAATCACCTCTCCAGCCTGGACAGATTGGCCACCAACGTTTTTCGTCAAAGAGGGATCTGTTGCAAGCAGAACAAAACATTAGGAATCATCACAGACAGAATGAATAAAGCATAGGCAGAATCAGGAACCTACCTTCTATAACTTGGGCATTAATGTCTTTTATGGTTTGCACCATAAATCTGTGAGTCTTTTCTCCTGCATGAACTACCCAGGAATCCCAGCCATCAAAAAGGATTTTCAGTGCAGTGCTGGTTGCAAGAAGAACTGCAGTAATTAGGTTCCCAGGCTGGATAGAGAGCATCTGCATTGTTATTTATCTTGTTGACTACACATCTAGCATCCTTGCGCACTTCCAGATCATCTGCATCTCTCCAGGAAGTGGCCTGATTGCAGCTCATGTAGGATTTGAGTGGAATGAGCTGTGGGCAGCCAAGTTGGGATGGTACACTTTTGGCCCCAAATGATAATTGGGAGGCTTCCCACCTCTATGGGGCAGATCCCTTGGCAGAGTGACACTCAAGAACTTCTTCCTGAAATCAATTCTGGTTGCTTCCTCTTCTGGCTCCTTCTCGAACAGCCGGCATCCAGGCTGAAACCAAGGATAGGTCCTTCTGATCACCACCTGCCACTAAGCTGCTGACCTCTTAGTATCATGCCTGAAAAACATCAGGTACTCCTCGATCGAGCGCTTAGGCACTTCTGCCGACATCAGAGGAAGGGCCAAAACTTGGTTTTCGGGCAGAATTATGTCTGGAAACCTCAATTCTGGGAAGTAGACCTGCAGCCAGATCTGGATCATCCAAAATGCACAGGGAGCAGACGGGTTTAGTGGGTTCTCCAGGGTGGCAATGTGCAGGTTCTTGAACAAATGAGCCAGAACTGTAGGTCTAAGACCAATGTCAGTGTGATTGTGAAGGGCTTCTACCAGGTGCCTGTACTCAAGCAGAACTGCGAAGAAAGGTTCGGAAGTATAAACTTGTTCAGCCAGTACAGAAGGAACATCATGTGCTGCTGATCCTTGTCCTTCTCTGCGCTAAACTTCTTCAAAAAGTTGGAGAAGGAGCAGTTCTGGTTGCTTGTGGCTGGAGAGATAGTGAATGGCTTTGATAATCACCCACTGCATCTACAGGTCTTCCATGGGGCCTGAACCCAAAGATTTGAGCCATGTCCAGTAGGGTTGGGGCCATAGGGTTGGGACCAAACCAGTGAGGGCCCAGCACCAGGGTGTTTTCGAAAAGATGAAGGACATTCTCGTCCAAATTCTTTTGGGCAAAAGGATGGAGCTTGCTCCGAACCTCAATGACGTGTTTACCTACGCCAGCTCCAGTAATATAGGCAGGGGGAACTGAGGAACTGAGGAGGAGGAACCTTTGGCGCGAGTGTTTGGAGAAGACATTTTCAGGTTCAGAGCTAAAGCAGAGGAATCAAACTGAAGGAAGGTAGGGTCCATTTGAAGAAGAGGGCGAAAGATTTTTGAAAAGTATGGGAAGAAATCAAAGACTGGAAAATATCTAGGTTTCGCAGTGAACAGGTGCTGGAGTTTCAAATTTCTTAAAAAGAGTTCAAAATCGTAGAGAAGACGAGGCGTCAGCTGATAATAGCTAGCTAGTAACTACCCAGTTTCCCATGAAGTCTAGCTCGATAAACAAGACGTGGCGCACGTGGTTCAACTAAAATGGAAAAGAGTGGCGCGCAACATTAATTGGCAAATTAATTCAATCTGAACCGTTAAAAGGTTAAAGAAAAAAACCGTTTCCAAAACAGTTCAGATTCAAGGGGGCAATGTTTGGGCCAAAATCTTGTGGACCTAGCCCAACACGGAAAAACCCGGAATAGGGCCACAAGGCCCAAGCAGTCTGGACTTTGCGAAATAAATAGGGATCAAAAGCCCAAATCAAAGGAAGCCCAGCCCAGGATCTGCCTAAAAACATAAAAGCATAAAACTTGGGCCTCGAAAAAACAGAGAAAAGGAAGAAGTCAGCCCATGGATTAACTCGGGCTTGCCATGATTGAAAAGAAAAAGCCCAAAACAGGAACAGACCCACGTGATGTTTCTGACTTAGAAAAGTCAAAATTCTCAACTGGGTTGATGAAAGGTTAACAAAAGCCGGCAACTAGGAAGAGACATCTCTCAATCTCTGACCATCAAAAGATCAAAACCCTTTTATATATTTAGAGATAACGTTTTTACTCCAAGGAAGGAATCATCTTTCAAGGGATACGCAGACTATGTTCTCAAAAAGAGATAAGCAGGAAAACAGGGAGTTGTTCAAACTGGAAAATCAAACTGGCCATCACGGCTTTTAAGCTCTCGCAAAGGGCAGTTAGAATTAAAGAGGGGTTAGGTTAACTTTAAAAAACAGAGAAGTGATTTGTCTTAAAAACTGACTATTGAGAGCTTATCTGCCAGAGCTGATAGAACCCCTTTTTTTCTTTTACATTTAAAATAAATCTTTGAGAAATTTGCCGCCCATTATTAAAAGAAAGAAACCCTACTCCAAAGCATTTTCTATAAATATAGGAGATGGTGAACAGAGCACCACACACACTCAATTCATCAATCAATCAAACAATCAAAAACCAACCAAAGGCAAAAACTCAAAATGATCACTTGATCATTGAGAACCTTCAAAACAAACTAGAGCAACCAAAAGCTCATTTGAGCCACAAAAGAAGCCAGCTATAGATCAGAAATTCCAAGTTTAGACTTAGAGAAATAAGTCAATCAAAACGAGACTTCTCTTGTTACAAATTTGGTTCAGCAAAAGCCAAGACAAGCAGAGTTTGAGTTTTCACAAATATGAAAACCTCAACAAATTCATGGAGAGCCTTGACCAAGCAGAACAGGTATCGTAGCACAGTTTTGGTTCAGTAATCCTCAAGTCTAGTCACTTCTGCCTCGTTCAAACTAAAGAAGTTGCAGTTCTGCCTGTTCAAAAAGCCTTCCAGGGCTTGAAATAGATTAAAGCTCTGCCAAAATCAAGCTTTGGTATCGATTTACAGCTGAAGCTTAACAGTTAAGGTTGTTGACAGTTCAGTCTAGCACGGACATACTCAACCCGACCTGGATCAGAAGCTTCTATGCAGGTAGAAATGGAGTTTCGGCCCTTTTTTTTCCTTTTCTAGAGTTGATTTTTTCTTCCTAAGTTTTGTAAAAGGTAGTTTTGTCTAAAACAGTCCACTTTATTATCATTCATTCTGGTCATAATTACCAATATTTTACTGAGATAAATTATGAAGTCCTCACCAGTCTGAGGCAAGAAAAGAACTTACTTGGGAGATATTCCTCACCCAAATTCACAATCGCTTGATTAGAAATTAGTAACTTGGGGCGCAAGTTATATATTTTTAAGAAGTCTGCTAGAATTGTTATTGCTAGCAGTGGCACGCTCGCACACTAAAGAAAGTTGATTTGTTGACCAGTCAATGGTTTTCAAGGCAATGGGGAACTTTGCCCTTCCATCACAGGAATAAAAACTAAACGGGTGAACAAGAATACTAGATGTTGTGCCCCCAGCTCTTCTCGGATGAGAGCTAAACTAACTGCTGAGTTGGACACCGCCAAGTAGATGAACAAATCTTCCCTTGGTACGGGTTTTGAGAGCAGGGGAGATGAAGTGAGGTAGGTAAGCTTTGAAAAGCTACTTCGCACTCTTCATCGCACTTGTCTCTTTGTCCTTTCTTCAAGGCTTTGAAGAATAGTCTGCACTTATCGATAGATCTTGAGAGGAATTGATTGAGAGTTGCTACCCTACCTGTTAGACTTTCTATCTCCTTTGTTGTGGCAGGCGACTTCATATTGAAGATGACCTTGATTTGATTTGGATGTGCTTCGAAGCCTCTTTAGGTGACTAAGTATCCCAAAAATCAACTGGATGAGACTCCAAATGTGCACTTGTTCGGATTCAACTTCAAGTGGTACTCTCGGAGTAGACTGAATGCTTCAGCAAGATTCTTGATGTGATTTGCCCATTAGGGAGCTTTGACTAGCATGTCATTCACGTAAACCTCCATAGTCTTGTATATCTGCTCCTTGAAAATATTGTTCACAAGCCTTTGGTAAGTTGCTCCAGTGTTCTTCAGCCCAAACGGCATGACTTTGTAGTAGTATGTGCCTTTTTTATTATGAAAGAAGTCTTCGCTTTGTCGTCTTCATGCATCATGATTTGATTGCAGCAGGAGTAGTTGTCCATGAAATTAAGCAGTTGGTTACCGGAAGTTGAATCTACGAGTTGATTAATTCTTGGCAGTGAAAGTTGTCTTTTGGGCATGCCTTATTGAGGTAAGTGTAGTCGATGCAAAGTCTCCATTGGCCATTGTCTTTCTTAGCCACTGGAACAACATTAGCCAGCCATTCTCTATAGGAGACTTCTTCAATGAAGTCGACAGCTAGGAGCTTGTTGATCCCGGCTTCAATGATGGCAACTGAATCAGGAGCGAAGTTGTCACTTTTGCACCATTGGCGACTGATGATTTGCAAGTCAATTCCATGCATGTCAGACGGTGACCATGCGAACACATCATTGTTGTTCTAAAGGAAGGTAGTCACTTTCACCTTCTCTTCTAGGCTTAGGCGCGAGCCAATCTGCACTTTTCTCTCTGGCTAGTCAAGATCAAAGGGTACTAGCTCAACTTCCTCCTCGGGCTTCCATCCTTCTTCAACACAGACCTCTAGACGGATTCCCTCAACTTGGTCTTGACTCTTTGATTGCTATTGGGTAACTATTCCTTTTCCTTTTTGGTCTGCTCGACTGTCAGGAATGGTATCTACTTCCTGCTTCATTTGTTTTGTCCAACTCATTAGTATGAACTGTGTTTGCTTGCTATTTTTTAGCCCTCAGTAGCATCATCTTGCTTTGCCTGATCATTGTTGATCTGCCCAGTACCACCTCCAAGGATTGGGTAACGGATTTTATGATGAGTGGAAGAGGTGACAGCGTTGATCTTGCTAATCCATGACTTGCCCACTAATCGACCATTTAGCCCAGACTCCTCGGAATCGGCCAGGATTGTGTTAATCCTTATGACTTTCTAGGAAGGTTCCTTGGTTGCATTGCAGTCCTTGATCTGCTGGATGACCTTCTTTTGCTATGAATTCTGTGCATTAGCCTTTTCTCACTAGTTCTTCGAGGTGCTTTTTCCAAGCAAAGCAATCATTTTTGACATGCATGTGTGTCCCATGGAAGGCACATTATCTTTGGATATCCTTCTTGGCTGGATCTCCCTTCAAGGGTGGTGGTCTCTTCACCCAAGGCTTGTCCTTCACTTAATCTAAAATTTGAAGTATGGGATGGAGAAATTAGTGGA